TAATGCATGAATTCAGAGCCATGCAGCCTGCCATAGGGTAATAAATTTTTTTTATTTTTCTTTTTAAAAGATATTAGCCAGTAGCCTACCCATGACCTTGAGCTGATCAATTTTCAAAGATGGCACTGCAGGGAGGGCATATAAGGGGAGAAAAGGAGAGCCTTTTTCAAATAGCCTGATTTTAGGCAATTCTCAGCAAACACCTGTTATCTCACAGCCAGCAGGAAAAAAGAAATGAACATACATATAAAAATGTATATTGCATTTTTATACTCATAAGGACTAGACCTTAAAAGTCCTTTTGAAATTTAGCATTTATTTGATAGGACATAAATCTGAAGGCTAGCAAGGAGGCCTATTTGGAAAGCTGAGGAGTCACCATTGCTTGAGACTACCTGTCATTTCGCAGGAGCCTGGAGCCTTGTGAAATAAAGTCAGCCCAATGGTTCTGTCTTCATCTTTAAAAATGTTACATTAATGGAACAGAATCGATTTTATGTCTCTCAGAGAGTCCACGATTCTGCTCACGGTCATTTGCTGACTAATGTCTCCAGCAGAGAAGAGCAACAAGCAAGTTCATGAATTATGGCTGTCTTTGGTTCTCTTATCAAGGCTATTTTTTTATTTTAGGAACGTCTGTTTTGATTAAAGCCATTAGAGCCAGGAACAAATGAAAATGTGTCTGGATCTTAACATGCCTTGCATTTTTTAGCTGGAAGCCCAGTGAAGCCTGTACTTTAATTCTCACACCATTAAGGCAAGTGATGAGTGTTAACCTCACAAGTTCAGCCAGTTCCTCCTCAGCTACCTGGTTTGGGGTCCTAAGAAAAATCCTGTGGCAGAAGACTTGTTGGCTGAGTTATATTTTCACTTATTTATATCCTCTACTTGGCTGCATAAGTATTTTCATTTATTTATATATCCCTCTTTCCTGCGAAAATTATTATTTAAAAAAATTTTGGAGGGGTGGGGAAGTAATTAAGTTTATTTGAGGTACTGGGGATCGAACCAATTGAGATCATCAAATCCCTCTGTTACTGCCTTTCAGGGTAACTTAGTGCTTGAAATGGAAGATGCTTTTAGTAGCTGTTTAATCTAGTTGAAACAGTGGAGTAATTATTTCTTAAAACTCTCTCTGCCCTTGACTACACTTCCGGCAAGGCATTTTTCTTTCATCTCTTTTTACCAGTGCCCTCTCCCTACTTCGCAGATGGGTGTCAATTTTCTTTTCACCAGCTTCCTTTCTCTCTTCCAAGCCTGCAAGAAGAGAACCTCTATTCTTGTCTGACTTTCAGTTTTGCCTTTCTCTTCTGATTCTGATGTGCCCAAATCACTCTGTGTGTCCTGAACTGGAATATCACGTAGGCGGGAGTAGCCACGGGGCAGATGTTATAATATTGGCTTTACAGAGAAGTACAAACAGGGTGACACTTAATGACAGTCGGTATTTCTTACTGCAGATAACGGCTTGTGTTTAATTGGTAGCCAGGACACACAGCATATACCTTGTACATTTAGACATTCTAGGTATCAACACTCTTCTACTGTCTCTTAGCTTAGATCTGTCAGTTATCCACAGATCAACAGATAATATTCCATTGACCCCGCTGTGTTTATTCTTAATTGCTTACCTATTGAATGAAGGCTCTCAAGATTGGTTGGGACTGTTAGCACACCAGAAACTTCCCACACCCCTCAGGGGCTAAAGTAGACTTTCCCATATTCTTTTCCCCAAGAATTTTTGAGCACCTCTTTGACATCCTAAGTAGTTAAGTAAAGATGGATTAGCTTGAGAACAAAATTGTCACTGTAGGTTTTGTCTATTCCTGTGGTGGATTGATGCACATTCACTGGTGAATTATCTTTGATTTAGGACATATAGAGCTACAGGTGTGGGCAGGCATGGTATGCGTGGGTCTATAAAAATGTTACTTCTCCATACCTTCTATGCAAATCAGTTCAAAATCATCGCACAGTGTAGCTGCATTTTAATTTCTGTTGGAGAAAGTCCATGAAGTTCAATTGCCTCCAGGCTTGGCTGAGTGATCAGCAAGTCAAATGATTTATTTTGTACTGAACTGGAGGCAGGGTGGGAGGGAAGTACAGGAAGAAAAAAAAAACAAAAAACCTTGGTTCCTGTCCTCACATATCCTGGAGTCCTCTGGGGGCCCAAGGCATGTGTTCAGTGTGTGGCCCAACACATGCCATTTTGCAAGTCAGTGGGACATGCTCTCAGAAGGGCTGAGTGATGGGATAATTAGAACCAAGCAGACAGCGGGGTGGATGGTTTGTCTGCAGATAATAGCTTGTTTGCTAATTGCCAACACCAGATTTTCTGGGCAATTAGACATTTGGTTTCTTCCAAGACCTTCTGTGCGAATGTGGACACATGGCCGCAGGCCTTCCAGGTAGCAGGTGGAGAGAGGGTGGCTCCCCGTGCAGGATGGCATCTCTCTGCAGGTGCCCAAGGGGCGGTGGGCAGGGCAGACTTCTCACCAACAAGTGGAAAGGGCCATCGGGCTGGCCTCCTAGTGGAGATGCCGAACAACCCCCTGCTTTTATGGAAGTGGGTGCCATTTGCGCTGGGAGATTAGCAAAGAAGTTGAAGTTTAGCAGGCTGGTCCAGGGATCAGGCACACGTCTCCATTTTCTTTTCAAGAGCACTGAGCCATGATACTAATAGGGATTGGAAATTACTTCCCCTCTCAGATGAGCAAGTTGGTATTTTTAATAAAATTTTTTTATTATGGTAAAGTATATGTAACATAAAATTTGCTATTTTAACCATTTTTAAGTGTGCATATCAGTGGCATTGATTACAGTCACAGTGTTGTGCAACCATCACTACTATTTCCAAAACTTTTTCATCACCCAAAATAGAAATTCTGTTTTCCCCATTCCTCCCTACCCCCAGCCCCTGGCTACCTCTAATCTACTTTATGTCTCTATGAGTTTGCCTATTCTAAATATTTCAGTGCCTATTCTAAATATTATACAATATTTGTGCTTTTACATTATTTGTGCTCCAGCTTATTTCACTTAGCATAATGTTTTCTAGATTCATCAATAGTATATCATGTATAAGAATTTCATCTCTTTTTACAGCTGAGTAATATTCCATTGAATGGATATACCACATTTTGTTTATCCATTTATCTGTTGATGGATACTTGGATTGTTTACACTTTTTGATTTTTGTGAATAATGTTGTAGTGAACATATATATACCAGTATCTGTTTGTATCCCTGTTTTCAGTTCTTTTGGGTAGATACTTCAGAGTGGAATTCCTAGGGGTGGAATTAAGTCTATGGTAATTCTATCTTTGACTTTTTGAGGAACTACCAAATTGTTTTCCACAGAGGCTGTATGCATTTGCATGAGATATATACAGGGGTTCCAATATCTCCACATCCAGCATTTGTTACTTCCTTTTTTTTTTTTTTAATTATAGCCATCCTAGTGGGTGTAAAGCAGTATCTCATTGTGGTTTTGATTTCCCTAATGACTAATGAGTGTAGCATCTTTCACGTGCTTATTGACCATTAGTATATTTTCTTTGGAGAAATGTCTATATAAAAGTCCTTTGTTCACCAAATTGACTTTTGGCCTCTGTACTTACTGTTTCTGCACTTTTCTCCTACAGGTTAGAATTGAGTCTCATTGGGAGGGCAGGGAACATACGTCTGCAGAGAGTGGAGGGGGCTATGCAGATTTGAAGCTTCACATTCACTCTTTCATGATTCATTTTATTCCCTCCACCCATTTGGCACCCACTGTAAGGATGCTTCTTGAGTTCTCACCAAGCAGGAAAAAGAAATCAGTGAGCGTGTGGGATTAACCAAAGTGACTGGGCAGCAGAGGCAGATGGACTAGTGCTTCCTTGAAGCAGACAGGTCTTTCTTAGATACTTCATACCCTCTGGGTTTCCTTGACCACAGGTATTGTTTTAGCAAATTACCCATTGTTCTTCCCACCAGGTATTAGCCTGGGTGCTGAATGGAGCAGTATTTGCAGAACACCCTGGATGGTACCTGGGATTTGTTGGTGCCCAGGGTCTGGCCATCATCTCTGCAGAGGGAGCCCACAGTCCTTGCCCTGCTGCTCTGCAGGCCCTGCCAGTCCTGGGCACTGGACAAGGAGAGCAGGTGGAGCTTCCAGCACTGATGGGGACAGGACAACTTCTCCTGGGGGAGAAGGTCTCAGAACAAATGTCTGTGCCTGAGTAATTGCAGGAGCAGTAGGGGAATCGACAAGATGATATTCTTGCTATTGGCTCTTCTCTGGCTTGACCTCATGTCTGTTGTGGGGCCCCTTCTGTGGGGTCCAGGAATGCTAACCTAACTGTCTTTCTGCTGTGGTTTTTCTTACTGAATGTCAAAAACCTTCAGCATCACTGAAGAGAGATGAGCTCCCCGCGTTCTGGTGGGCCTCATGCCAGAGGAGGGAGGTGATGCAGCCACTAAGCAAGGGAATTCTTCCTGAAAGTTTCACTTATGTTCTGTATTCCTACAATGAGGATTGTGCATCTCGGGGGTAGGGTCCCCCACCCCTCTGGAAGCTGCGGGCTGTGGATGCTCTCCCAAGAAAATGCATGCACAAATTTGCACATCATCTCAGAAGGCTAAAGGTTCCTCTGGTCCATACTGGTGCTTGGGTTAAGAACTGACTCTACGGAGGCATGAGCGAGGAGTTATAATGGATCTGGGGAACTGGGCAGCATCTCTGCTAAGTGGGAGTTGGATGGCACATAGTGAGAGGCCTGGTGGTCACTGGGAGAAAAGGAACGTCTCCTTTAGTCAAGTTTTAAATACCAAATATGGAGCAGGGGTGGGGCATAGAGCAGACACCCTACCTTTATGGCTGGAGTTCAGCCTGGCCCCCCACTACCTTGCTTTCCAGTGGCAACAGCCCCCGGAGGAGCCAAGCCTCGCAGCCCCCATTGCTGCTCTCTGGCTGAGCCCGCACCGCTTCTAAGGAGTGCACTTGTCTTTCCTTTCAGAAGCGGCCCCCACGTCTGCATATTCGTCTCCAGCCCGGAGTCTGGGGGACACAGGAATAACGCCTCTGTCCCCTTCCCACATTGTGGTAAGAAGTGTGTGTGTGTTCGTGTGGGGTCTGTGTGCTGATCACCTTTGCTCTCTGAGTCTGCTTTCACGTGACCGGCCACGAAGCAGCCCTTCACTTTCAGGGGTGGAGACTGAATAGTCCGGGTGCCAAGCCCCGTCCCCACTCTGGGTCAGAAAAGGCTTCCCATGGTGTGGCTGGTGCTTTGGAGCCATTGGATGTGGATAATATGAGCAGGCAGGGTGGGAGCAGCTCTTTAAAGATTCAGGGTTCAGAGACTGCGAGGCATCCTCTCGGAAGGAAGCAGCCACAACTGGCTGGTGGGCGAGTCAGTGAAACACCATGGCTTTTCTGCTACAGTTGACATCTGTGTCCAAAAGCTGTGGCTGTAGTTGCTTCAGCACCGGCTTGCCCGGGAGAGGAGACCTGGGCAGTGAGGGGGTGCTGGAACCTGGGCATTTGCTCCCATCCTGCCCTGCACTGCAAAGGGTATTGTGGGGCAGCCATTCAAGGGATTTACAGGTAGCTAACCAGAGAGAAGTACCCTGGGGAAAGGGTGGCTTTGCATGAGCTGCTCAGATCCACAAAGAAGACCCTGCTGAGAAGAACTCTGGAGCCTTCACTAGGTAGGGGCACCGGCTCATCCTGGCTTTCCCAGAACTGTCCTGGTTTTACATGGAAAGTCCTACATCCTGGAACTCCCTCAGGCTTGGGAAAACTGAGAGGCTTGGTCACCTATGGCCAGGTCCTGTGGTTTTCAAACTCTGTACCCTGAGAGTTCCCTGTAAGAGCTTCAGGGTCATCTTGGAGTGTGTGGGGATGGGGGCCGTGTGAGGAGAGGCCAGATGGGTGGGGCTCGCATCCCCTGCTCCAACCAGTTCACTTCATATCCAAAATTTATTAGTTTATAATTTGAAGTTCTGTGGATGTTAAAAAAGAAAAAAGTCTACACTGCTTAAAAAAAAAAAGATTTGGAAATCTGCAATGGCCGGGCCTACTCACTTGACAGATGAGGAAAGGCTCTGGGCCCCAAGGGGACAGGACTCACCAGGGTCTGTGGCTGGTTATGGCAGGGCTGGGCAGGGTCCCTCGCGTCCTGAGCTATACTCATATGCACGACATGCCTGGGCAGATGGAGGGGTCACCTGGCAGGTGCACAGGGCACAGCTGAGCAGTGTCTGGAGGTCTGTGCAGGGACTAGGGGAGGGCAGTGGTGGGAGGATGGTGTTACTTGATGAACTACTGGGCTCCTGGCCAAGGTGGAGAATTTCCGTAATTAGCGGTGTTCATGCACAGTTGATAAAGGGAGTGGCAGGCAAGTGTGGGCAGGTGCCCTCAGCCAGTTAGCCTGGCCCCCCTGCTCAGGAGGCACCTCCATTTCTCCAAGTCACTCAGGTCGGGGCCGAGGTAGGCCTGCCCTCTCCCTAGGGCTCACCAAATGGCAGCCTTGAACCAGAATGTGGATTGTTCTTCTGTCTGCAGTGGGTACAGGGCAGGGTAGAACCTTCCTGAAAGCCGGGCTTGGCTGCCCCCACCCACCCCCGGTACCCCATTCCGTGTATCTGCAGAACGATGCCGACCCAAATGTCTCTGAGCAGCAGACGTTTCTCGTGGTGGTGGCCGTCGACTTTGGGACCACGTCCAGCGGCTATGCCTACAGCTTCACCAAAGAGCCAGAATGCATCCACGTGATGAGGTGAGTGCTGGGGGCAGGGAGGGGCATGTGCTGGCACCAGTCACTATAGCTCTGGAGACTTGGGGGAGGGCCCTCCCGGGGAGAGGGATTCATTCAATGAGAAGGTAAATGGCACTTAGTAGGTGGTCAATTCCTGCCCAACTTGGCCCACACTCACCGTGCCTCTTTGGGCAAGCCACTTCTCATCCCTGGGCTCCAGGTTCTTGGTCTGTAAAGTGCTGGTTTAGTTCTGACATGGTTTGGGGAACGGCCTGGACAGTATGTTTGAAAGCTGGCCTGGGTGATTCTAGCGTGCAACATGGGCAAGAGAGGCTGACTTACAGGGTGTCTGTGATGGAGGAGATCCAGGCTCTGGCTCTGCCACCTACTCTGTGGCGATTGTTGAACCTTCTAAAGCTCAGTTTCCTCATCTGTGAAATGGGGATAACAGGCAGTACCTGCCTCACAGAGTGTGTGTGTGAATGAAATGAGATTTCCTATCAAGTGTTTGGGACGTAGTAAAATGTAAGCCTGGGAGGTGCTAGCTCTCCAGGTGAAGCCATGAGATGACAGTAACCAGAGTGGAAAGCACTGTGCCTGAGGGAAAGCAGGGTGGGGTGAATTTCAGCCAACTGAACCTAAAAGGTCACCCTGAAGTTGCCCTGGGTCTCCCCACTCCCCACCCCCACCCCCCCACGCACACAGCAGCCCTGGCGTGCACCCCATCCACATGTGATCGCTGTCTTTGAGGAGCCTGGTCCATCCTGGAAACAACGCTGGGTCCCCCAGTGTGGCCCACGCCTTCCTGCAAAGTCTGCAGTCCCTCAAAGCTTCAGGAACCAGGGATTTAGCACCCTGCTTTTCCAAATCTAAGGATGGCTCTGAAGTTACATTTTGATGGGCTTTGCAATTTCTTCAGCTGGTAATTGCAGAATTTAGTTATCACTCCCGGAATAAGATCTTATGCATTTTTGTAGAGGGCTGCTTAAAACATAAGTCATAAGTGTGATCTCCACCCCACTCTTGGTTTAGGCTCCACTTTTCCTCTGGAAAACTGGATATCCTCAGAGACTTCAGAGACCCGTGGGTGTCGTCTCATCAGGAAATAGTGAGGAGCCGGCTCTGATAGAGAACCTTGGTGGCAGCATAGCCCTCAGTGTTCACTTGCAACCAGGATTCTGCCTCGGGTTAGCTGGACGGATGCTGTGAGGGGTCCGCTCTGCCATCCCCCAGGTGGAAACCCCGCATAGAAAACAGCTCTTTATTAAAAGCTAGAATCAATGTTTATCAGCTTCTACAGAGTTGTTTTAAAATTTTTTATTTTGAAGGGATAGTCATACAATGAAATTGAAGGAAAAGAAAAAATAGAAAAGAGCAGAAAAAACTTTGACTTGCTTGGGAAGAACCCTCGCAAAACCTCCAGAGCTCAGGGTCTCCGGGGACGTGATCTTAGTTATTGCAGAGATTTAGAAGGGAGGTTCTACCTGAGCTTTATTTTAATCAGAGCATATTAACATAACCATGATCCAGACTGACAAAGTTACGAATGATAAAGTTTAGTTTTTTGTATTTGAATAGAAGGAAGGAATAAAAATTTGAAGGGGAAAAAACTCAGGAGGTTCATTACTTACTGAAAATGTCAGGGTTAATAATAATGGAAAGTCCACTTCTGAAAGGTTGTGTGTGGAGCACATCCCTGGCCCAGGTGCCAGTGTCTGCCTGGGACAGTGATCATCCCTGGGTCTCAAGGGGGTCACCATGTGGACTTTGGCTCCTCGGGTAGCAGCCTGCATCCTGATGGGGCTTGACTGGGAAACTGGCCAGGGATGATCGCAACCCCATCTGCGTGGCAAGTCTAGGTGGAGGTTGGCTCTCCTTCTGAACTGTAATGGTCCCACTAAAGCTTAATGATGCAGTGTCGGGAAAGGGTGTGAGCTCAGCCAGGAGCACGGCCACCTCTGCAGAGGGCAGGCCAGGGACAGAGATGTGCATCCCCTTATGTACTGTGTCTCTGCCAGAGGCTGCTCTTAGGGGTCACATGGCTGATGGCAGAGGGGACCCAGGTCCAGCTGCAGAGCCAGACAAGAGGGCATCCTGGCCTCTGAGCCACTGGGGCTTCTCTGCTGGCCCCAAAGCGGGGAGAAGCATTGAGTCACCGGCCCTCTCTGCTCGCCTTCCTTTTCTCCTTTCTGTCTGAGAGGAGGAAGGAAGCTTTGCTGGGGCTCACCTTGCTCCGTCACCTCTCCCATCAGTTCAGGATGTAATCCCATTGCATCTGCCTGCCTGCCTGTCTGTACTCACCTCTCCTCTCTTCTGGCTCCTCTTCAGGATATGGTCCCTTCCCTCCTCATGTCCCGTCAGCGCTCTCATCCACCTTGTCACTGTGACTGATGAATGGAGTATGGAGGCACCCAGGTCTGCTTCCTGCCTGGATCTTTTCTGGAACCCCAGGCTTGCGTCTTCCGGCCCCTCCTAGGAGTTCAATGCCAGCACATTCAAGAAGAGCGCTCCACGTTCCCTCCTGCCTCCTTCTTGACCAGGGCTGCTGGTTTCTGTGAAGGGCTCTCTCTCTCCTCTAGGCTGCCAAGCTTGAAACCTTGGGGGTGCCCTGGCGCCTGCTCACTACCGAGGCCAGTTGGCCGGATTCTCCTTTGGATGGCTCCTCCCTCTGTCACCCCCTCTGTCTTCCCCTGACTCTACCCTTCTATGAGCTCCCTCACCTCGAGGCCGGAGCCTCTTCCTCAGCCTCCTGGCAGCCTTCCTTTGCCTCCCTCCCTTTGGTCCAGTTTGCTCTGGTCAACAGCAGTTCTGATTCTGTCCTGCCCCTACTCTGTAGCCTTCAGTGGCTCCCCATTACTCACGGATTAAATCTCTAGTTCCTCAGGGTTCCCTTCAGCCTGGTTCCAGCCACCTTCCCAATCTCCTTCTTGCCCTTCTGATGTGCACAATCACTCTTCTCATGATGGTACATGCTCTTTCTCTAACCTACATGGTCACTTAGCATTCCCCATCCATGCCCCATGCTGGCCCACCTCTGAGCAGCCTGCAGTGTCCTTCCCTCCTTCAAGATCCAGCTGCCTTTCACTCCTGTAAGTCTCTCCTGAGCCCCGCATCCTTCCCCCAGCCCCACCTCTGGCACCTCTGGGACATTTCCCCGGGCCCCTCCTTTCCACCTGATAAGGCAGGTATTTATGTGTTTGTTTATACCCTACTTGTTTCAGAGAGGATGCAGGCCAGCTAGACATCTGCTATTGAGTGCTCACAAATTAAAAAACCAAAACCCAAACCAACCAAACCAACAAACGGAAAACCTTATCTACTCTGTTGTGAGTTACTTGAAGGCAGAGACATAAATGTGTCACCTCTGTGTCGCCAGCACCTCGCACACAGTAGATGCTCAGTAAACTCTGGGTGAAAGAATGAAGCAGGCTTTGTTACTGAGCAAGAACCTGGCACTTGTTCCTTCCATTTTTCTTATTAACTGAAGTTGTGTCTCTAGTCACCACTCGACCAGCTGGAGCAGAGTGTGCCTATAGCGGCCACCGTGAGCACCCGCGTCTAAAACAGTCATGCACATAGTAGGTGCTCAAATCAGTGCTGCCTGCTCTGGGGTTATGCCAGAAGGGCCCATAACCTCTGCCTTTCCTTGGTGGCAGGCGATGGGAAGGAGGCGATCCTGGAGTGTCCAACCAGAAGACCCCGACCACCATCTTGCTGACTCCCGAGAGGAAGTTCCACAGTTTCGGGTATGCTGCCAGGGACTTTTACCACGACCTGGATCCCAACGAGGCCAAGCAGTGGCTGTACCTGGAGAAGTTCAAGATGAAGCTGCATACCACTGGGGTAAGCCAGCCTCGCCCTGGCTCCACGTCCCCAGGTTTGAGAGCCGAGGTTCCTCCAGCTCTGGTGGGGGTGGGGCTGGGGCCCCTCAGGTTCTTCCCAAGCAGAAATTGACGTCCATTCACCTTGATTTTAGAAACAATCTGCAGCACACAACACACGGCACCTTCTGATGTACACATGAGCAAGAGGATGTTCAGAACATTTAGCAACTTGTTTGCCTTGGAAACTACCAATCAGAGTGCACACTGGCTGGATGGAGCACAGACAAAGGGGCTGGGGGCTCCCCGCTGCACCAGGACATCCCCCTTCGGTTTCTGGATTGTTGGGAGACCAAGGAATCCTGAAGGAAGGACTTGGGGGGCTAGGGCCCATCTGGGGACCCAGGGGCAGTGGCTATGAACTAACCATCAGGAAGTAATAACTGGCTCATCAGCCCTCGGTCCAGGGAAGGAAGTAGCTCAGGAAGTCAAGTGCCCAGTAATTGGAGGCCCAACTCCCCAAGCAGTTCTGCTCCCAACCTGCCAGTGTTCGGTCAGATGGCCAAGTCAGTTAGGCCCTTCCTCCAAGCGTCATGGAAATGTTGGACCATAGGTTAGAATTTTTTCCATTTAAGCATTTTATCCCTTAAATTTTCTGTAACTTTCAGTACTTAGAGATGCAGGATGGTGACAGTGCTCAAGACCACAGACCCTGAGGCCGGACGGCCTGTGTTTAAATCCCACCTCTGCCACCTCCGGGATACTTAATCCAGGTCACTTAGCCTCTGCATGCCTTGCTTTACCTTATCTGTGAAATGGAGGCACTGAGAGTGCTTTCCTCATGAGGAGGTTGGAAGGATTAAAGGAATCAAAATACACAAAGCTCTTAGAACCAAGCCCGTACTTAGTAAATTAAAGTCAATTGCTGGCTCCCATTCCTGTTGCTTTCATATGTCTGCTGTTAAGTGTTTGCAGATGACAAAATAAATGTCGCTGGGAAACTCCACAGCCAGCATCCTGCTTTTCAAGACTTTGTGCTTACCTGTGTGGTTGTCTCTCTGAAGCAGACCAACTTCTGCTCGAAATGCACCCTTCCGGTTTCACCTGATGGGATTCAATGCCGAATGGTCTCTTGCAGGTGGAAACAGAGGAATTTTTTCGATTTGAATTTTTTCAATTCCAAGCCCATGGCTTCCTGGTGCCTGGCAGGGGTGTCTTTGCTTAGCCCCAGGTGTGGGAGGAGTGAGCTGGTGTGGATGGGTCAGGATGCCAGGCGGTTTGATGGCCCCTTCACACTCCAAAGGCAAAGACTAATTACCCAGCCTGGATCAATCCAGAGGCCCCACTGAGTTTTTTTCACTGGTGTTAATGAGCCTGCTGGTTCCAGGAGACTTGGGGGCTTCCTCCTGATGTTTGCTTGCACTCTCTGCCCATCCCTACCCTCTGGGGACTATTCTCATCATATTTTAATGATCTCAGTCCATCCAGCATCTCACGGAGCATCTTCTGCCCAAGGAACCACACTCGGTAGCTGCTGTGGCTTCTGGCAGAGGAAGGAAGGCAGTGATGCTGGGCTCCCAGCGGATTAGACAGCACAAGGCTTAAAATAGGAGCTCTTCTATTTTTGTGACTTGGTTGGCAGCTCACTGGGTAATGAAAGCCTCGTGTCTGTTTAGCATCATGCACATGAGCGAGTTGGCATGATTATTTAGACCTCCATTAGTGGGGCTCCCAGGGGTGACCATGTGTGTCCGTCGTGTGTGGAAACAGTATGTAAATTGCATCAGGAGTGGCGCCTGCTGCCTTTTCCTTCTTCCTGGGGCTCTGTCGCTGCCCTAAAACCCCTGCTCCCAGAGGAGAGAGAGGAAAAGAGGGAGGGAAAGAAGGAAGGAGCAGTGGAGGTAGGGAAGAGGGGAACAGACAGGATCTCCCATGTGGTAAGGGGACAAAGCTGCCAGTTCTCTTCCGGGGGACACACCATCCTGATCTGCCCCTTGAACACCAGGAAACACAAACATGGCTCACTGGGTTCCCTAAGGCTCCAAGTGGCAGTGCTTAAAGCCAGAAGGCATGCGTCTCCTTCTCTTCTTAGTATTTCACTCCTGTCCCCCTCCAGGACCTCACCATGGATACAGACCTGACAGCAGCAAATGGCAAGAAAGTCAAAGCCCTCGAAATCTTTGCTTACGCCCTGCAGTACTTTAAGGAGCAGGCACTGAAGGTAGGTGCGTGCCCGTGCCTGTGCTGGGGGCCACCTGCCAGCCACGGGAGCAGGGACAGCCTCGAGGGAGAGAGTGTGGGCTTTGTATTCGGAAGGCAGGCTGCACCCTCCTGCACTGCTGGTGGGAAGGGGGAACGTGCAGCCGCCGTGGAGGACAGCCTGGCGGTTCCTCCAAAGGTTAAACACAGAGGTCTAAAAAACGTCACCACGCGCGTCCCAGTTCCATTGCCAGGGATGTACCAAGAGAAATGAAAACATATATTCACACAAGCACTTGTGCATGAATGTTTATAGCAGCACTATTCATAATTACCAAAAAGCAGAAACAACCCAAATGTCCATCAGTGCACGAATGGGTAACTAAATGGAATCCACCCAGACAATGGAGTATTATTCAGCTGCAAAAAGGAATGAAGTCCTGATTCATGCTACGGCCTGGATGAACCTTGAAAACGTCATGCTAAATGAAAGAAGCCAGGCACAAAATGCCACATACTATATGGTTCCATTTGTATGAAATATTCAGAATAGGCAAATCCATAGCGCTAGAAAGTAAATTAGTGGTTGCCAGAGGCTGGGGGAGTGATAGTGAGGAGTGACTGCCAAGGGGTATGGGTTTCTTTTGGGGGGTGATGAAATTAGATCGTGGTGATGGTTGCACAACCTTGTGAATATACAAAAACCTGCTGAACTGTATGCACACTTTAAAAGGGTGAATTTTACGGGAAGGGGATTATGTCTCAGTAAAAAAACAGAAAGGCAGGAGACACGTAGCAGTGTGTGATCCTGGGTGAGGTGCTCCGTCTCTTCAACACCCTCGTTCCCAATGTGAAAATGGGCGGGTAATGGCACCTCGTGGGTCGTTTAATATTAAATGAAACATTAGACGTGACATGCCTCCCTCGGGGCTCAGCGCCGAGTAAACACTTGGTAAGTGATTGCTGTGGTCCACCCCTCCTCCGTGCCCCCCACCCCAGACCCCATGGAAAAAGCTGACTTGGTGAGTGAGCCCCCGGGTCATCCTTGCAAAGGTTTGTGCACTGATGGCTCAGAATGCAGATCACGGCTAATTTCCAAGTGAAAAACAGCAGTCCACTCACGGTCCCCGCCCAGGGGCGTGGTGAGGAGTGGGTGTGAATCGGGTGATTAAGGAGCCTGATGCCCTCCATCTGAAAAGAATTGGGAACTTCAGAAGCATTTGGTATTACATGATCACTAGAAGACATTTAGTGAATTCTAGAAATAGAATTGAGTAGAACTGTAGACCTAGGGCCCGAGGGAGACAAAGAAGTGAGAACGTAACACTGCTTTCACACACTCAAGGACCTTTCGGTGTGAGTACATTTTTTATGTGCCAGATCCTTTACAAGCTCCGGCGGTGTAGAAACCCACATGGCACAAGGAGCATGCAGACAGTGGGTCGGTGAGGGGGTGCCGGTGGGTGTTGGGTGACGTTGGGTGAAGGCAGATTGTGCCCAAGGGCAGCAGCAGGGAATTCTCCCTGGAGGAGAGGGATTGGGGGCCCCTGAGAGGCAGCAGCTGGAAGGGCGGATGTTTTTTGCTGGTGGAATGGCCCAGAAACAGCTCAGGGGAAAGAAAACAGAACAAACAGCTGGAGGAAGCAGGCAGTTTGGAGCAGGCGAAGGGGCAAGGCTGCAGACAGAGCAGGCCCAGGGAGCTGGGGATGAGACTGTGCAGAGCTGCGAGTGCCAGGCAAGAGCACTTCTTCCCGGGTAACGGGGTGCCGTCAAAGGATATCTTGTGGGGGAATGCCTGGCTTCGGGGATGGTGTTGGGGGAGTGGGACCACAGGGGGCCTGAGGGCCTGCAGGGGGAGGAAAGTCATATGTCAGCAGCTCACTCAGATCCTGGAACAGGTCTGTCTGAGGGCTGAGGGTGAGGCTGCGGCTCGCACTGAACTGCGGGGTCATTTGGGGAACATGAAAACCCAGAGGATAAAGGGGATGGGCTGGAGGGAAGGAGTGGTTCACGGGGAAAAAAAATCCTTCCATGAAAGGGGGAGGGGAGAGGACGCTAAGGAAGGAAGTGGGAGGGAGGCAGGGGCTGGGTCGCTTTCAGGAAGAAGCTGGTGACCAGCCAAGGGCAGGAGCAGCCAGGCTGGGGAACTGCTGTGGGTCCAGGAGGCAGCAAAGCCGAGAGGGGGCGCAGGCAGGGGGACCTGAGGGAGTGATCCCAGAGGGACGGGCTCGGTGCCTGGAGGCCCAGGCGGCTAGTCTGAAAAAGACGGAGGCACAGAGGGAGGCAGGGGCCCCCGGACTAAGAGGAGGAGGAGGAGGCTTGGGGGCTCAGGGAAAATGCAGGACTTGAGATCAAGTCCATGACCTTGGAGTGTGTTTTGAGTTGGCCAAGAGGAAAGGCGTGAACAGTCCGCCTCTAAGGGGAGGCAGGAGGTGGAGGGGGCAGAGGTCAGGCAGGGGCGTGGGTGGGTGACTTTGGGCCTGTCAGCTCAGCCATAGGCTTCAGGAACCTTCTCCCAGCAGGGAATACGTTGTGAAGAGATTCCATGAGGCAAAGCTGTGTGAGGAGATGTGTAGGAACTGGGCCCTTCACAACAGGGCTGACTGGTGTTCGAGGGCCAGGTGGGTTCAGAGGAGGGGATAGTTGTGCGCTGGATCAGAATGAGCTCGAGGACCAATGCCTGCTGAAGTAGAACATCTCAGCCATCATGTGCCTGGGGCGGTGTCGTTGCTCACGGGGGAAAGTCAGTGAAAGTGCCTGGCGGGAGACGTTCGGTCCACGCCAGGTTCCTTCCCTTCCAAGCTGCTCTCCACCCCCTGGCGAACAAACAGCTTATCCAGACAACTTCCCACACAGCCAGGGAAGCCTGTCACTCATCTTTGAGCCGCTTCCTGTTTCAAGAGTTTAAAATAACCTGATGGTAACCGACGCCCTGCTTAGAATCCCTCCCAACCTATTTTATTACACGCTCACTTGCTTTTCAAACCCAATGCAGACCTGCCAGGAAATAAAACATGATTTAAAAAAAATAATAAACACAAGCAAAAAATGGCTGTTTCACGTTGGCCTAAAGCAGAGATGTTTTAAAAACATGTTTATTTTTTAAAAAGTTCAGTGGATGTGCTGAACATTACTGAACCGTACGCTTAAAAATGGCTCAGATGGTGAACTTTGTTATGCGTATTTTATCACAATTGAAAATGAAACTTTTTTAAAAGGCCAAAAAGAAAAAGGGTTTACTGATCAAAGAGGAAGTTAGTTCAGTGAGACAGTGGGTCAGTCCCAGGATAGCTAAGTGAAACAGTAGAGAAATGAGATACCCATCAGGAAAAAAAAATCCTCAATCTTCTGAAGCATGTCCCCAGAGCTGACTTTGATACAGAAACACATCAGTGTGCTTTTAGGTTTGATCTTCTGTTTGTCTGGTGAATGTGGCCCCGGGAGGGGAGGGGAAGGAAGGAAGGTCTTCTCTGGGCTGGAGGCTCCCCTTGTGTTCTCACTGAATCTTGCCAGTAACGCTGTGGGTTCGTGCTATTCTTCCCATTCTACCGGTGGGAACACTGAGTCTGAGAGCTATTCTAGAGACATATTTTGTCTCTGTGGGCCTGGTCGATGCTTCCACCCACCTTGTTATCCACATGGGTCCCAGTGGTGTGGTTTTACCTGAACTGAAAGTTAAGGGCAGCATGGTTCTTGCTTAGGTCGTGTTGTTCATATCCTCCCCATCGTGCCAGGAGAAGTCCCCGGATGTGCTGGGCTTGGGGCAAGGTGGATGACAGGGATGACAGACAGGGACAACCCTGATCACAAATGCCACCGGTTGCTGAGCACTGCTGCAGGCCAGGCACTGTTCAGATATGAGATCACGTCTTACAGTTTAGTGGAGACTTTGGCCTTTAGAGTCCAAGACAGACCTGGGTCTGGGTCCAAAGTCTGGCTCTGCCAGTTCCTAGCTGGGCAGTCATCACGAAGCCTTATCTTGCCATCTGTAGAAAAGGGGCAGTTCTAATCTCTTCCTAACGGGATTCTCAGGTGGGTGAATGGAGATGAGGTGTGGAAAGGGCTTCACAGGGTGGACCCAGAGTGAGCTCTCAGTAAATGCAGCTCTCAGAAAATTATCAGTCCTCCCGACAGCCGATGAGCAAGGTATTATTATCTCGTTGCACAGACTAAAAAACTGAGGCCTGAGACGTTGCTGCTTGCCCTAAGTCACGTGACTAAGCAGTGGCTAAAGGCCTCAGATCTGCCCGCCTCCCACCTGCAGTCATGTTCAGTGAGTGAAAGCAGCTGGGAGCTCCCTGTTTGCTGAATATTCAGAACAGACTTGCTCCCCGATGCTGGCAAGTTCAGGAGGCTGTGGAATAGATGCCCCAAGAGTCCATGGCCAGGAAGCCTGGAGTTTCAGGGGAAGCCCCAGGAGGACCAGCTCTGTCCACTTGAGCTGCTGCATTTTCTGTGGCTTTAGGAGCTGAGTGACCAGGCGGGTTCGGAGTTCGAGAACTCCGACGTCAGATGGGTCATCACCGTGCCTGCCATCTGGAAACAGCCTGCCAAACAGTTCATGAGACAAGCTGCCTACCAGGTGAGTGCAGGGCTGGGGGCGGGCGGGGGGCCAAGATGCGCATGGCGGTGACTGTCACCCCACTCCGGTGTCCCCCAGCATTCACAGGCCTCCTTGGGAGGCAGCGAGGGGGCTCCCTCAGGCAGGGCGACAGGGAGTCTCCCCATTCCTCAGCTTCCTCCTGGGGGAGGACAAGGGTCAGCCCGACAAGGGGAGGGGCTGGGCTCCACTGTCCATCTGGCTTTATTCATCTCCAGGTCTGGTTGCCGTTACTGTAGAGTCCTTGGAGCTAAGATTTCAAACTGGGGCTCAGAGACATTTCTTTATGGGGGAATGGAAATGACACCCTCAAGGAAAATGCTTGGCAAACAACATTTGAATAAGAAAGAAACAGACAAGGCCAAGGGCCAAGAAGCCATGAAGCGGCAGATCAGGCTGGTGTGGAGGCTGAAAGCTGCCCTTATGCAGCTGGGAAATAAAGGATGATGTCCTCCGCACGATCCACCTTATGAGCAGCACAGGAGCACGACATGTATGGTGGCCCCAGAGAGGGGAGAGGCTGCCTGTGTGGTGGCAGGCACCCACAGCCAGATGAGGACAGTGACACAGCTGAGGAGCGTGCCGGTCAATATGGCGCCGTGGATACATCATTGGCGCCACCAACTCTCGTGGCCTCCAACCCTCGCACTGTTTGCAGACAGCTTGTGCCACAGTGGGGCTTCCATGAGGGTCTGACTTTATGACGAGAAGGGCTGGACGTACTGACCTGCTGTTCTGATCCCCAGGATGGAGCTGGCTCCTGTGGCGCTTAGTTCACTGCGTTAATAAATGTAAGCCCACCCTGGGGCCTGGGTCAGCTCTGTCCTGAGAATCAGGTTTCAGAGCCTCCAACCTGAGCTGGGCTGGGGAAAGTCACTATGGTCACAGATGCCCCCTTGTCCCCCACCACACCGCTCAGGAGGCAGCCACCTTTCCCAGGGGACATATCTCTGATGTCGAGCCATGGCCACACGTATGAACCTTTCCTTGAAAACGCCCACTGAATCAACCCTGAGCACCGCACATGGTCAAATGGCCACGGGCACCTTGTCTTTATGGGTTGTGCTTGATGCTTGCAGCTTTACTCCGGATGGCAGGTAGAATTCAGGGGAGGGCAGTGTCGCCTTCCCGACTCTCACCGGTCCCTTTCTTCCCTCCCCTGGCCCAGACTGTCTCCTCCACTCCCCTTCCTCTGGTCAGCGTGAGAATCTGGCTCAGTCTATGTTATTTGCCAAAAATAGATTTATTTTTATAGAGATGAAGGAAGAGGGTGGAAGTTCCAGAAAGAGGCAACTTCTTAAAAAAGTTAGAGTCACAAATGCAGTTTCACTGTCCACAGAAGCCCTGGGCATCACGGAGCTATTCCATGGCGTCAGCCTGCAGGCAGTGTCCAGAGACAGGGTGCTGGGACGCGGCTGTCGGCTAAGACCTGGCCTAGCGCCCTGAGTTTCCCCAGGAAGGACACTCAGGATTCACGGTTTTGACTTCCATTTTCCAGCCCCCAGGAAGACTTCAGCAATAAACATGTGACCCGGAAAAGGGGCAGTTCTTGTTTTCAGCCTGAAAAAAGAAAGGGATGCAGTGACTGGTAGATTTCTCAGGGCTTTGGGGGAAGTGTGGGAAGAGGCCCCTTACACTGGGGGGCCAAGGAGGAAACGAGGCTGAGGAGGGCATGGTGTCCTCAGGGTGAAGGGGGATGTGCTTCCCCAGAGACATATGGCAGATGTGCAGCTTAAGTTTTGGCTCTTTGTCATTCTGACTTGGTAAGTATGTTCAGCTTACATTCACTGGATGGATTTTGAAGATGGCAGGGACTATTCATTCATTCATCCATTCATTCTTTGTTTGCTCATTCGTGTTTTTTTGTTTTTTTAATGGAGGTACTGGGGACTGAACCCAGGACTTTGTGCATGCAAAGCATGTGCTCTACCATTGAGCTATACCCGCCCTCCTTGTTGATTTTTTCATTAAACAAACCTCCTGTGCTGGGGCCTCCTGTGCTCAGGTTGTGGGAGCTGCTCGGGTCATATCTTGTGTGAGCAGGACAGGGCCCTGCTCTTAAGTTGCTCACAGACAAATGGTTCATTGAAGCCACTTGTACTTTTGGGCAGGGGCAGATGGTGTGTTAGGGGCATCGCCTCTTCAGCCTGTCTTCTGGAAGAGTCCTCCTGACAAAATGGAAATGGAGTGTGCTACTCTGTGGCCCAAATCAGCATCTCTCCCTCTCTCCCTCCTCACCTCTCATTTATTCTACAGAATAAGAAAGACACATACCTTTGATGGTTAATCTTATGTGTCAGCTTGACCAGTTATTTGGTCAGATATCGTTCTGAGTGTTGCTGTGAGGGTGTTTTGGGATGAGATTAACATTTAAGTCAATTGATTGAATAAAGCATATTGCTCTCCCTAAGGGTGGCTCTCATCCAATCAGTTGAAGGCCTGACTAGAACAAAAGCTGACCCTCCCTAGATAGAATAAGAGAGAATTCGGCCCACCCACTTGCCTTCAAACTCGGACATCATTTTCCCCCTGCCTTTGGCCTCCAGCTGAAACAGCAGCTCCTCCTGGGTCTCCAGCTTGCCAACTGCAGGTCGTGGGACTTGTCAGTTTCCATAACCCTGTGAGCCAATTCCTTATAATAAATCTCCTTCTATGTATGCATACATCCTACTGGTTCTGTTTCTCTAATGCTGACAAATACAGAACCTGAGGAAAAAACACGGTTCTCGGCCCAATCAGCTTCTGAGAGCTGAGGGCCCACCAGCCCTCCCACCTTGAGTGCTGCCCATTGGCCTGGCTTCAGGCAGATGTGCTGGAAGGATGAGGCAGGATGGTTCTCCTTCAGGGTGACCGGGAGACTGGCCAGTCTACCCTGCTGGCATGTGGCGAATAGAGCCCCTCCTTCCAGGCTTATGGGAGGTTCCTGAGCCCAAGATCATGGCCCAGTCATGTGGGGGCTGAACTCCATCCTCCCACCTGCCTGGTGGAGGTGGAAGAGGCCTGGATGCAGAGCCAGGAGATGAGGCTCTGGGCAGCATCTCCTATGGGAGAAGCAGGCCTGCAGTGGGTGGGCCTGGGGCCTCCACTTGGAGGTCTGTGAGTCACGGCCAGGGAGGGCTGCCCAGCACTTGATCCGGGGACTGTTCCATCTGTGAAACTCCCCAAACTCCTCTGTGTCAAGTGTGTGTTGAGAAAGTGGGTTAAATCTCTATCTTTTGTAATCCACGGCCTCAGGTCAGCTTTAGAGCCTTTAAGAGCATTCAGTGACAAGATGGCGGCAGGAAGAACAGCGATGCCTCTTCTGAGGCCCCGAGAGAAGACCTAGAGTGGGGACACAGTCCCGCTGAGCCCTGAGGGCACCACGGACAGGAGGTAGTCCAGTGCATCTCCGAGGCAGTTTGCCCAAACTGTGTGCCTCTAGTAGGTTCCAGAGACCTGTTAGATAAATGATGTTCCCCTACTTCGATGATCTCATCTAACTTGGCGCTGCAGCCTGCGTTTGCTTCCTGTTCTGAACAAACTGCAGTGGAAAATAATCACATCAAGGAAAAAACCCATCCCCGTGACGCTCAGAACTGGTGCAGCTGCAGCTCTTTGCAGCTCGACGCCGGGCCAGCCGAGCACTCGACAGGTCTGGCCACTTTTCTCAGCTGTGGACACGGCCCCTGGCGGGCTTTCCTGGCTGACTGCAGGGCCCAGGGGCAGAGCAGCCGCAGCCGGGGTACCGCCCACTCCTTGGCCTCCCTGGAGTGCAGTTTTCTCAGCCACCCGGTCCTCCCAAGTGGAGCTTGTGACCCGGAAGCAGAGCTCTAAAAACGACTGTGATGGGACTCTCTGCTGCCCCACATTTGAGGGGGAGTCAAATAGGGTGGCATACTCTTGGTTCAGACACTTTCTGTTTATAAAACCCCCAGGTCATGTCTGAAATGCTCTCGTGAGAAGGGCCAGATAATTGCAGAATAAAGGCTGGCTGGAGGGACGGTGGATTCGTTCCTTCAGCAGCCACCTTCTGAGCACCCACTGGGTGCTCTCAGGTACGAATACCTGGCTGCTGCCCTTAGCAAACGCGCCATCCTGCAGGAGAGGCAGACAGACCTACGTCCATCCTTAGTGGAGGCAGAGTGTGCTGTGTGCTGGGTCGGGGCCCCAGCGGAGGAGAAGCTCACTCAGAACAGCAGCCTTGAGGTATCAGCTCCAGAGGCAGAATTACCCAAAGCAGAGTGATCGCCCGCTGCCATCGACTCTGGCCTGATCCCAGGCAGAGACCCCCAGGTCTCCCGCCAGCTGCCAGGCCAGAGGGCTTCTGCTGAGAGTGATGGCAAGTGTTTTTACGCAGAAGCAAAGCTTACACTTTGGGGTACTGGATCCTTCTGTCCGGAGACAGAGACATCTGCGTCTCAGAGAGCCTGGCGGAGCCTTGTGCTTTTCTTCTTTTTCTTGGAGTTCGCAAGCAGCTCTGGGAACTGGCCTGGGGAGATGCAGTCTGCTCAGAGACAGCTGTCTCCTCTTGCCTCTCCCTCAGCTCTCCCCTGTGGCTTCCATGAGAGTTTGCCGGTGGGGACACAGCTCCTCACTCTCGCTGGGGAGCCCGCTGGGGCCTGGTTAAAGCAAAGGTGTGTGGTTGCTTTGTCCTGGCCTCCCAGGCACTGCCCGGCCCCCCACTGACCTCGCCTTTCCCCTCCCCACTGGCTTGGGGTCCTCCTCACCTCCGCACTCAGGTACCATGGAAATGGGTCAAAGCTTTTACTGTGGAGCCAGGGCCAGCTCAGCTGGACGGGGACAGATGAAAATGGCCCCCCGAGGGGTGCAGCCTGTGCTGTTGGGGCAGATTCAGGTCAGCCTGCTTGTCTTTTACGCCCCCAGCATCCTCGTGGGGGTGGTCTCAGTCACACACCAGGCACCCTCAGGTGCCCTCAAACTGTACCAAAGTGAGTGAAGACTCAAGGCTCCTCACTCGTCTGGACTAGATGTGATTTTCCACGTAGACATTTCACATCTAAGTCGGAGATACTGCTCAGAATTTCAGGGAGGGCCTGGCAGAGAATAGGGCGTTTATTTTCTGCTCTTCTTCGTCCCCTCCTGTCTCCACCCCTGGGCCCAGGGGTGGCTCTTTCCGGCCACGTGGGAGCCGCCCGGCTGGCTGACATTCCAGGGGGACGATATGACAGGAATGTGCCTTTTGAGTGGGTAGCCCTTGCCGTTCTTCCTTCACAGCGAGTCCTGGACGCCCCTCTGTGCTTTGCCTCCCCACCCCTCCTCCAAGTTCATTCTCCATCCTGAGCTTTGGAGGAGAGGCTTATACGTACAGGGCCCGCTGCTTCTTCGCAGCCTGCCTTTCCTCCCTCCTCAGCCCACATTGTGGGAACTTCTATTCTAGGAGGGCCTTGGCTTTACGTACAAACCCAGGAGGCCGGAAGAAGCAATCCACGGGGGCTGTCCTGCAGGGCGTGCTCCTCCTGGCGGTTACTCTGGGTTTCTCCTTCTGGGATCCTGGGGATAAAGGCTCAGAGGTTTCACGGTGACTGGTGGCACTTTATGTGTGTGATCCCTGTCCTCTTCCATCGGGCACTGTAACCGTCAGCTATCTCTGTGCTGAGGATGTCTCATGGGACCCTGCAAGGAAATGAGGCTCGGGGAAGGGACACCTTGAATCCCTCAGACGGGGAAATCTTGTCATGCATCTGCATCAGTAACCTATTGGCCCGTGCAAATTAAGGGCAGACCTGGCCTCTTCGACCCAGGGCACAAGGCAGGAAGTAGGCGGGTTCCCGGTGGAGGGTGTAGGCACGTGCACAGTTCCATCTGGTTTTGTAAAGGGTTCTGCTGCTTGTGAGGCCTCTGGTTTTGGCAAAGGGGAGACTTCTAGTCACCTGCCAGCTGATGTTAACTCATTAAGACATAATTAAGTGGTTCCTCAGGGGTATGGTTATTAGGGAGAAATAATGACTGCAGTGTGGGAGGTACCCGTCCAGAGTACATGCGAAGAGACTGTATCTTTAAACTAGTTGAGGAGGGAGAATTCAAGGCACCCAGGTGTTTTGTCAGAGTATGGAGGCCTGGGTCCAACCTCCCCGCCACCGCCCGGAACTGGAGTTACTAAGAGCAGGAGAGCTGGGAACCGATTAAGGAGCTGGTCTGCAAGGCTCAAGACCCGGGCCTGGGCTGGCTCTGCCACCTCTGTTGCCCTTGACTCTTGTCCTGGTTTGAGCACTGAAAGTCCAGTGTGCCAGGAATCCCAGGACAGTTGGTCACGCTACTTCTCTGAGCCTTGGTTTCTTTCTACATAAAGTGAAGGAGTTGGATGGGAAGACATTTCTAATATTCTAACCTGAACTCCCCTCCCCTCCGTGCCCAGTAATTGACCCTCCTAAGCCCCTTCAGCCCACGACTCCAGGCGGCTCGTCCCCACCGGGCCGTCACACATGTGTGACATTCAGTGGACCTCCGTCTCTGTTGACGAGATGAGTCCACTAAACCTCTTGGGACCTGGGGAGAACGGGGGGCCTTCTCCAAATTGGGTGCTGCCTGAGGGCGCATCCTGGGCTCCCTAGGAAACCACAGCAAAGACAGCAAAAACAACGGTGACGGGAGCGAAGCGAGTTTACGTTCTCCATCGGTGCTGGCAACCGAGGAAGGCCGTGAGCTCGGGCAGCTTCAACAAGCAACCAAGACCTCGTGCTCCAGGTCAAGGCCATGAGAGGCCAAGCCAGGCTGTTTCTCTGCGCGCCCTCAGAAGGGTGGTCCTGGGCCTCCTGGCTGGCCCTGCGTAAGGCCTGGAGGGGCTGTTCCTGGAACAAGCCGGACATCATGGAGCTGAAGCCTTTCTGCTGTTAAATGAATATAGGCTTTGAGTGAGATAACTGCCAGTGGCCTTTCTACCCACTCCAGGCAATGGGGACTACATGGGGTTCTGGGGGGCTTCCTCCTGGAGCCCTCCTGCAGCTCCGGAGAGAACACGGCCGACTCCTGTACAGCAGAATCAGACACTTGCATAGCTGAGGTCCAGCCACGGTCCTTGCCTCCTAGGCCACCCAAGGCTGGGGTTTGCTATGGCTCAGTCGGACCATTTAGTTCTCTGGAACCAGAAACAGACCATCAGCCTCCCGTCCTGTGCTGGTTTTCAAAGTTCTGGGTCCTTTGCCTCTTTGTGCTTCTCAGTTCTGGGCCAAGCAGGCCCCAAATGCAAGGGACCCTGAGGCTCGCAGAGCCTGGCATTTCCCAAGGGTACTTGTCTGTTTCTTGGCCCACTCTCTGATGCTTGGGTACCTGGCTTGGGGCCCGGTACCCGATCACCCCAAGTTTAGGTGCTGCAGAGACCTGTGGAGGGAATTTGCCAAACAAGTAGAGTGTGAATGTCCCTTCCTTGGGGGTGTCAGCCTAAGGTGTGGCATCCTAGGAGTGGTCCCAGCCGGGGAGCCTGCGTCCCAGCCTTGCCTTCTGTCTTCCAGGCAGGCCTGGCCTCCCCTGAGAACTCGGAGCAGCTCATCATTGCCCTGGAGCCCGAGGCGGCCTCCATCTACTGCCGGAAGCTGCGGCTGCACCAGATGATTGAGCTGAGCAGCAAGGCGGCTGTCAATGGGTACAGCTCCAGTGACACAGTAGGAGCTGGGTTTGCACAGGGTACCTCCTGCTCTCTCTCTCCCCTTCCCTGCTGTCCCCTCCTGCCCCCTGCATGTTTCTCCGCCTCTGAGTTTTTGAAGGCACTTAATGCTGTCGTGAGAAATCAAGATGCTTCTGCAGGAGGCTGGTATAAGTACCTCTGTGCTCAGCACCCCCTACCTGGCCCCTCCAAGGACCCCCGTAGTCTCAGCAGTGGTTCCCCTACTTTATTACCCACCCAAGTGCCTTAGGGGAGAGCATTTCCCTCCAAGAGCCTGAGGGTGGCCTGGGAGTGGCTCTTGGCCTTGCATTTTACTAGGCTTTTAATCTTTCCTGTCTATTAACTGATTCTTAATCTAATTCCACTTGCTTGTTATTAATTCCTCCATTAAGGCTGTTGATTTATTGCTGACTCACTCATTGGGGCCCTTCGTGTGTGATGAGCTCATTATGTGTCTTAACTAGAAACCTGGCGAGAGTTGAAGCTACAGATGGAAAGGGCTGACTTTTCCCAAAGGGTGGATGCTCGTTTAGCTGTGGGCGGGAACAGCGCCTGGGGAAATCCAGGATGGGGATTTTAAGGGCCTTTTTCTTTTTAATATTTACCTGTATGCAAGTTGGTCACAATCTTGGTCCCCAGTGCTGTTTCCCCTGGTATGCGGGGCTCTGTGGGTCTGCCCAGGGCCATGGAGTCGGGGGACACCCTAGGTCAGTCAAAACTACATGAGCGAGCGTGGGAGCTGATGGGAGCTGTGGGGGTGGCGCTGTGCACCCCGGCTCTGAGCTCTGTGCCCAGGTGGGGGCCTTGAGGGCAGAAACCCCCCATCACCCAGCGCCTCTCCATCCTGCCCTGGAAGGCCCAGGCCCAGGAAGAGAAGGATGACAGTAGTGAGGACTGTCACTTGTTGGTCCCAAGTCTTCCTTGGTCTGCACCCTGAAGCCTGTCTCTATGCTGCCCAGGGCACTGGGGCCCAGGCTCACCCTTCGCAGGCACACATTCCTGCCCAGCCAGGCCTCTCTTCTTCCTCTTTATAGGGTGACTGTGCCCCAGCCGCCACTGGTCTGCATGGAGGTGGCCGTGAATCTCAGCCATGAGAGTGGCAAAAAGTTCACTTGCCACCAGACTGCTGCCTCGGCCTGCCAGGGCTGTGAGTTAGCGCCCTCGATCTGAGTCACCTGGAAGGAACGGGACAGGCTTTCCTCTGAGTCGGAGGGCTTGATCTGCCTTTTTCTCACAAGGCTCGGCCTCCCCCCGGCACGGCCAGGCTAGCCTCGCTGCTAACTAAATCAGATGCAGTCACGTTTTAAATACTCAGGATGGATCTCAGTTATTTAAATTTCTTTCTTCATTGTTTTAATTGGGAAAAAGAGAAGTGACTGAGGGCTCTGTATTTCATATGCTGATTCTCAGTTGTTCACAAACAACAGCCCGGTCAGAATTAGCTAACTCTAGGTGGCTCTCCTGAACGTTTCTGAAGTAGGACGTTCCCGCGCGAGGGGGAATCTGCTTTGAATGCTCACCTTCCCCAAGAGCTCAGTTTTCAGGTTCCTCTCCTTTCACGTATCCCAGCTACTCCCACACTGCCCCGTGTCTGCGTCCTGTGTTTTGTGGAATTCGCTGTTTCATGTGCTCAGAGGGGTGTCTTTGGTTTTTGAAATCCCCAAATTGTTGGCCACGACCCCTCAGAGGGAGGGCGAGGCAGGGGTTCTGTCTCAGCCTCACTTTACCTCTCTCCCAGGATGGGGTGCTTGCTATGTGGGGAGGCCTGGCAGAGCACTTAGTCAGGGGTACCCAGGATGGCACTAATGCCCTGAGACCCCAGGCTGTCCTCTGCCCCCGGATGCTCCTCCCAGATGGACGCCAGTGGCACGGGAGGAGACCGGAGCTCACTCCACCCCCAGCACTGCGGGGTTTGCCGTCGGTTTTACTTCACTCCAAAAGGATTTAATGGGGTTAGCAAAGGACACGTTTTTCATAATCTTGGGCTTCATTTGACTGAAAAATGGGATAATTTTTTGAGAGCTCGGAACATGTTTTATTAGCCTAACTTGGCCATTTTTTATGAATGCCATTTCGTTAGCCATCCAGAAAGCCACTGCCCACTACGAGGCGTGCAATGTAAGTACATCTGGAGCTGGTGTTGGGAGCAGGAGAGAGGCCTTCAGTTTGGGACTCCCTCCCAGGCACGCAGGAATTCTTTAATCAGGGGCTGAGCTCCCCGCTGTGAACCAGAGACCCAGGAGCTGAAGGCTGGCCCCATGTTTGCCATCCCACTTTCCTGAGATGTTTTGCAAACACTGTGCTCCTTGCTGAAGAGGCTGGAGGGTCAAGGGTCCTTAATGGATAACTGGATGGATTTGTAGGACAGTTGAGTCAGCAGCACCTGCCTGGGGTCTAAAAATTGGTGAAGGGCATGCAGAGAGCGGATAGAGGGGGAGGAGAGTGTGGACAGAGCCTTTGTCTGTAAAACCTGGACGGCTCTAAATCGTTCATTGTAGTGGTCATTTCTTGGGTTCCTGGTCGCATACTTGGTGCTTTGTCTTCATTATCACCTACCGTGTGCCTGGTGTCACACTGGGTGCTGAGGATAAATCAGAGGACTGGTCCCTGCTCTGCCTGTGAGGAACGAAGACCAAGTATTATTGCCCCCATTTTATGGATGAGGAAACTGAGGCTCAGAGGGGTTAAGTGACTTGCCCAAATTCCCACTGCAGCTGTGCTCAGCTGCTTCCCAGATCCTCTCTCACAGCACCTTTCCCATCTCTAAACTTTCGTATTCTGCTTTTCCAGACCTCACTCTAAATTGTTAAATCTCAAAGACAGAGTGGGGCGGGGGTCTGAGGGTTAATTTGAGGCGGCAAGTCAGTCGTGGGAACTGCAAGTCCTTTAACCTCCCTGACCTGGTTTCCTCATCGGAACATAGGACGATGATTTGTGCCCTGCCGGCCTCACTAGGCTGTCTGAAGGACTGCGGAGGATTAAATACCCAAGCGAGACGCCAAAGCCGCTACCAAGTACCCCGAGCCACAGCCAGACTGACCCGGGGTGTGCAGGAAAAAGGCGGCGCCGGGCTCTGCCAGGTTCGGGTGCGCCACCTTGTGGCTGAAGAGCATATCGACTTCAACAGGGTCTGGAAATGGCTCCGGGCCCGTTTGTCCAGCATCCTGATTAGGAAAACATACCCTACATTCCTTTTATCGGACTAAGTTCTTTGATGTGAAATTATTTAACCAAGCACACTGCAGGCTGCTTGGCAGACAGCTTCCTTCCTGGGGCAGCAAAGCCAGGGAATTGACCGATTTTATTCCCATTCCCCTGAAAGTGTCACTGAAGGAAGAGATCTCATCAGGGTGAGCTTTCAGCAGGGCACCGTCCAAAGCTGCCAGGAAGATGAATAGATGAAGGCTGGTAGAAATAGCTACTTGCTCTGGAAGATCTGGCTTTGTCATTCCTTATGTTGTATTTATGTAATCGTTTTGACCAAGTATCACCAAATGTTCTCTTCCTAAACCTCCCCTGCTCTCTTACCTCCACTGACGGCAGGGGGCTGCCTGCTCTTGCATGCTTTCTCATCCGGTGTTATTTTCTCTCTTTTGGTCACTAGCTAAGGAACACATACGACGTAATCGGCAAAGTCGGACCTTTTTGGTGGAGAATGTCATAGGAGAAATCTGGTCCGAGCTGGAGGAAGGTAACGTTCTTGAATGTCCTTTGCCCATGCTGAATTGTGTGTGTGTGTGTGTGTGTGTGTGAGAGAGAGAGAGAGAGTGTGTGCTGCTGGCAAAAATGCATTCCTTTTGTTCCTTTTGCACTTTTGAGAAATATTTCAAATCAGTTGGTTTTCAGACCACTCACCTGGGAGAGCTCTTTTCGGAGCTGTAATTTTGCGTGTTCTAAAACCATATAGGCTCTTCAGAAGGAAAATAGGAACTGAAATACACCAGTTCCGGAATAAGTCTTGTGTTAAACAGGAGGTCATTTGATGGTACTATTAACTTGGCACGAAGTTGTCCACGTGTACGTGCCAGGTATGCAGCAGCATGAATGCTTTAGTCTTAAAGACTCACTCATCTGGATTCTTCATCATGGTGCTAACCGTCACTTCTGGGCAGACGCTGTCTCATTTTCTTTTGTTGTGAATACCTCCCTAATTAGCAAAACCGTTGTACTAATAAGTGTCGATGGTGCTTAGCTGGGTACACCTAGTCATCACTCGCCAGCTTGTTCCAGGATGTGGTGGACAAGAGGTCTGTGTAAAGGATGGCTGTTTTTGTACCAGGTGACAAGTATGTGGTGGTGGACAGTGGCGGTGGCACCGTAGACCTGACAGTCCATCAGATACGGTTACCCGAGGGACACCTTAAAGAACTGTACAAAGCAACAGGTGAGCCTGAGCGAATGAGAAAAATGGCTGTTTTTCTCATACTTGAGCTGTTTCTCTCATTTCAGTTTTCTCTCAGCATTTCATTCTTTCAGTGCCCCTAGCACATGTGACTCCAGGCAGTAGAGGATATGCATGTGTGAAACCTGAGAGCAAAATGCAGTTAAATATTCTTTGAAACACAAACACCCTAACTTTGGGTTTGGGCATAAAGTGAGCCTGTTTCAGATCCTGGTCAAAGGAGTTTGGTTCTGAAAGTCCTGCGAGGATGTGATTGTCACCTGGTTGTCACCTGTGATTTAGTGCTGTGGCTAAGCTTTCTAGGGAGGTCCCAGGACACCTGGTCTTGGATCAAGATCACCAAACCGAAGAACGGGCTCTCCCTCTTGGTGGGGGTGGGGACGGTGAGGAATCAGTAGATCACAGGGACTGAGTGAGGTCTACTGGTTTTCCAGACCTGTGGTTGGAAGTGTTCGGTGGGAATACCACGATGCTCCCAGTTAGCTGAATGCATTGATTTTATTTAAAATGTAACTGATCGCAAATAGATTGTTGATGAGTGATTTCTGTAGGAAAAAGCTTCTCCACGTGGAATGAGAACCTAAGGGTTTTAAAGTGTAAGTGAGAACACTGAGCTGCGATCTGTCTGCTGGCTGAGGGGGTCCAAGTTCGTGCTGCTTTGAGCAGAACCCAGCGTGGGCTTTCTCTGACTTTGGGTTCCATTTCTGACCGTTTTTAACACAGTGGTCTCCCATTTTGTTCTGAACTCAGGTGGACCCTATGGATCCTTAGGAGTAGATTATGAATTTGAAAAGCTTCTGTGTAAAATATTCGGAGAGGATTTTATCGAGCAATTCAAAATCAAGCGTCCTGCGGCCTGGGTTGACTTAATGATTGCATTTGAGTCTCGCAAAAGGGCGGCGGCCCCAGACCGAACTAACCCGCTGAACATCACCCTGCCCTTCTCCTTCATTGACTACTACAAGAAATTCCGGGGGCACAGCGTGGAGCACGCCTTGAGGAAGAGCAAGTGAGCTGGGGTCAGGTTGGGCTCAGGACATTCTAGGGGGTAGATCGCGTTGATAGGAGGGAAGAAGGGGGTGTGGACTTTGAGCCCCAAGTCTATACGCTGGCTGTGTGACCTTGGGCAAGTGACTCGACTTCTCTGTTTCTCAGTTTTTTTCATCTGGAAAATGGGGATGATAATTCCATTTACCCCAAAGGTTGTGAGGATGAAATCAGTTCATATATGCTTCACACAGTGCCCGGGTCCTGGAAAGTATTATCTATGTGTTAGTTATGTTTATGCACCAGAAAATATAAGCTTTATGAAATCAGGGAAGTTTGTCTGTTTTGGCCCCTGTTTTATACTCAGCGTCTCCAGCAGGCCTGGTGCATGTATAGTAGGTGCTCAGTAAATAGTTGTTGAATGAATTCCCTGGGAGTCTGGGTGTCCTGCACTTGGCTCAGGGCAAGTGTTTGTAGCTCAGCCTGTTGCAAAATGAACGTATTTGCAAGATGTTTTAAAGCTGTATTTAAAAAATAATAGACAAAAAGCAAGGGTTTCTAAAAATCTTTTTATAGTGGAACATTTCTAACATTATCTGGCTTCCAGAATTGTCGGTTCCTGGCCAGTCTAAATCCTCACCCACCACCCCCAATTATTTTAAAGCAAATCTCAGATTATCACCTAACTCATAAATATGTCAGTATGTATCTCTAAAGGAGATACATTTAAATTCATAACCACAATACTATTATCACTTAAAATGAGTAATTCTTTAATATTATTAAACATCCAGTTAACATTAAAATTTATCCAGTTGTCGCCTAAATCTTTTTTCAGTTTGCATTAACATCCAAATGATAGCTAAACAGAGCAGTTATCTGATGAGCCTTTTAGCTCCTGCTTAACATGTAGGTTCACCCTCCTGGTTTTTCCTGGCAGTCTATTAGAAGACAAAGCTGACTGTTTGTCTCAGAGTTTCCTTCAGCCCAGGTTTGGCTCACTACATGCCCACACTAACATGTTCTTCTGTCTCCTGGTATTTTGTACAAATTGGCAGACTGAGCTAGAGATTTAATCCGATTCAGGTTTGAGTTTTTGGCAAATCTACTTCATGAGTGGTAGTATTTCCTATTGCATCCCACAGGGGGCGCAATATTTGCTTGTTTTTTTTTCTTTTGTGACGTTAATGATCACTGCGTAGGCCCATTATTTCAAGGGAGCGGCCCGAGGTTGTCTCCTCAGTCGATCACTCCTCCTTCATTTATTAGCTAGACTACTTTGATAGAGAGAATCTTATCTCTTCATCTCCTTAACAGTTTGGTTGCCCTGAAACACAGTTCACATAGGAAAGACAGGACAAATGCTTGGTTCCTTCCTTCCATTAATACTGTGTTTAAAAAAAGTTGATTTCCTAGCCTCCTCCAAAGTAACAAATTTCTTTTTCTCTTGTGGGAGCACAAGGGAAGTATCATTAAGAATTAAATATATTTGATGTATTTTAAACGACAGCAGTTAGAGCCTTATTAATGCTCAGATTGTACCGTCCTGGCCAGCAGGAGACTCTTCAGGTTGACACTGTGGTCTTTAACAGTCTTTGCCCCCTGGTATATGAAGATGCTTCTGGCTCCTCTTGAATGTTCCGTACCCCAGACCTGCAGTCGGCCATTTCTCTAAGAAGCTGCATTTAGTGGGAAACCAAGTAGCTTTGATTCCATGTCTTCTTATCTTGGAGCAGGGTCCTAGCTGAACTCCCCCTCGGCTGATGCTCTCTCTGCCCTGTTGGTCCCCCACAAAGGCATGTGCTCTGAATTGAATCCCATGTCTTGCCTGCACAGTTTGGGGGCTGCCAGCTCTCCTACTGGGGACACTGGCTGCAGCCAGCCATTAGGTCACCCCACTCCACACCACAGAAAGAATTCATGGTCTGAGAGACCTGGCAGCATCTAGACTGTGATGCTGGGAGGCAGCTGGTGTGTGCTTTGCTTCAGGGACAGACATGCCCTTTGCTTGGCCCCTTGGAACGTTAGAACAGGCAGGGTACACACTGTAATACACTCCTTTAGCCCCAGAAAGTTTCCAAAGTGTTTTCACAGACCTGGTGTTTAACTTGATCTTCACAACAACCCCTGGGAGGGAGGTACGGTAAGCGTTATTTTTCTTCTTAATTTCCAGATGAGAAGACCAGTGCTCAGAGAAAATGTAGGCCAACTTGCCCTAAGTCCCACGGCTGCTAAGTGGTGGGGGCCAGTTTGGAGCCCAGCATTGCTGACTCCCTGCCCAGGGCTCCTCACCACTGCTTTGGACGTGCTGCCCCCTTGAGGGGAAAGTGAGGGGCGTCTGGTAGGAATAGGCCTGTCACCATCATGGGCCAGGTGCCTGCGGAGCTGAAGGAGATGAACCTCGGCTCTGGGTTTGTAGCCTCATGTTCAGTGCAGCAGACACGTTATATGAGCCTTTCACGTACTGGAAGCCAACTGTTGTTGGGTTCAGAATGTGTTCATCTATGAGAGGTTCTTTTATCTCCCTGTCTTTTGTACTAGACTTTGGCTTCCACTGTCCCAGGCAGGGGAAGGTTGGCCATAGCCCAAAGCAAAGAGAAACAGAAGTTTATGTTTTAGCTTTTGAATTTCTAAGGGTCCAACTTCTGGTGGTTTAGGGTATTTCTGAGGGTTCTTTGGACTTTTAGCCCCCCTTCCACCCCCTCAGATATGACAACTGTCCTGCCAGGGCCCGTGACTCTGCAGGCTGGCCTGGTATTGTGCGTACACTCACAGCCGTTCTTGCCCTGCCCCGTGCTGCAGTGTGGATTTTGTGAAGTGGTCCTCGCAGGGGATGCTGAGGATGAGTCCAGACGCCATGAATGCCCTTTTTAAGCCGACCATCGACAGCATCATCGAGCATCTCCGTAAGTGATCAGCCAGGGCTCAGCCACTCAGTAGGGCAGAGCCAAGAATGGGGACTGACTTTTCCAGTGTTACCAACTAGTCTGTGTGAAGTCAGGATGGCAGGGAGTCCAGGGCTTAGAGCTGCCGCAGGCCAGGGCCCCAGCAGGAGCGGGCAGGGCCTGGGCATGTATGAGGGAGGATGCTTGGCGAAGGCTGTGGCTCCCTCCCCGCAAGTACGGCAAAGCAGCCGGGAGCCTGTCCTCACCTGGGCTTTCTGTTTGGCTTCAAAAGTCAGAGGGCTGGGAGATCTGGAGCAGTCGGATCAGATCATCAAATGACAGTCCTTAGGGAATGGATGGTCTCTGCTTTATCAGAACAAATCAGAAACCATATTTGCTGGGGAGGCAGAACTGTCATGTAAACCAAAGAAAGGTCTCCCAAAAGAGGGTAAACAGAATCTGGCTGTGCAGTCAACCTGCTCCCCCAGGGGCCCTCACGCCCTCACCCGGGGACACATAACAGACTCACCTGGGACCTCTTTCAGTGCCCAGGCCCTCCATCCACTTCCCACCCCGCACCCACCCAGTTAGAACCCCTGCAGTGGGATGAGAATTTTATGAAAACCCAAGAACAATATTTCTAACAGCCTGCCTGACTTAGTTAACAGAATTGCAGGTTTGGAGAGGATTAGGGGTATTCATTTACACATAACAAAAACTCCTTAAAACGATCACCATCTAGCTGTTAAAATGGGTTTCTGCTTAGCAGTAGCTTTAGTTTGGCTCTTTTTTCATTCTGTTTTTAATTGAAATATAGTCAGTTTATGAAGTTGTGATGATTTCTGGTGTACAGCAACAATCTTTCAGTCATATATATACACACTCATTTTCATACTTTTTCATTATAGGTTACTACAAGATATTGAGTATAGTTCCTTGTCCTGTACAGTGGAAACTTGTTTATCTATTTTATATATAGTAGTTAATATCTGCAAATTTCAAACTCCCAAATTATCCCTTCCTACTCCCTTCCCTCCCCCTGGTAACCATAAGTTTGTTCTCTATGTCTGTACGTCTGTTTCTGTTCTGTAAGTTCATGTGTGTCTTTTTTTTTTTAAGATTCTGCATATAAGTGATATAATATGTTTTTTTTCTCTTTCTGGCTTACTTCACTCAGAATGACCATCTCCGGGTCCTTCCATGTTGCTGTAAATGGCATTATTTTATTCTTTTTTATGGCTGAGTAGTATTCCATTGTGTAAATATACCACAGCTTCTTTATCCAGTCATCTGTTGATGGACATTTAGGCTGTTTCCATGCTCACAGTAGCTTTGGTTTTTATTCCTGAGTGTACCAATGTAGAAACCTCCTTTCTTTAAAAGACAGGCTCTATAGAAATACTCTGTTGAACCAGTTCAGACTTCAGTCAGTCCTCCAATTGGCCCAAGTGGTTTTGTCCATTCTCCACATTCTGAGGCCACCCAGTCTCCCTTGGCTTTTGGTGACAGGAGGCTGTCCCTCCCTCTTCCCTTTCAGGGGACCTGTTTCAGAAGCCGGAGGTGTCCACCGTCAAGTTCCTCTTCCTGGTGGGCGGCTTCGCGGAGGCACCCCTCCTGCAGCAGGCTGTGCAGGCTGCCTTTGGCGACAAGTGCCGCATCATCATCCCCCAGGACGTGGGCCTCACCATCCTCAAGGGCGCCGTCCTCTTCGGCCTGGATCCCGCGGTCATCAAGGTGCGCCGGTCCCCGCTCACCTACGGGGTGGGTGTGCTGAACCGCTACGTGGAGGGCAAGCACCTGCCCGAGAAGCTGCTGGTGAAGGACGGCACGCGCTGGTGCACCGACGTCTTCGACAAGTTCATCTCTGCCGACCAGTCCGTGGCCCTGGGCGAGCTGGTCAAGCGGAGCTACACCCCGGCCAAGCCCTCCCAGCTGGTCATCGTCATCAACATCTACAGCTCTGAGCTCGACGACGTGAGCTTCATCACCGACCCCGGGGTGAAGAAGTGCGGCACGCTCCGCCTGGACCTCACGGGGACCAGCGGGGCCGCCGTGCCTGCCCGCAGGGAGATCCAGACCCTCATGCAGTTCGGGGACACCGAGATCAAGGCCACGGCCATTGATATAGCCACCTCGAAGAGTGTCAAGGTTGGGATCGACTTCTTAAATTACTAACCGGCCCTCCCCGCCACCTGCCCCCGTGGACTCAGCTCACTCGCCTCTGCTGACCTCAACCCTGACCGTTCTTCCCCTGCCCTTGACCCTTGCCATCAGCCATCTGAACTTCAGCAGGGAAGATGGGAACAGCCAGGGCTAGAAATAATTAGGGAGTTTTGAGGGCACACCGGAGTCAGAAAAGCTGTTGGCAGTTAGGATGGAGGTTGGGGAAGAAGAACTCCCAGGATCCCAGGAGAGCAGCTAGTGTTCATAGGTACAGAGTGGTGAAACACCCACCCCACGAGGGAATCAGTACTTTTCCGCAGCAGTGATCGGGCTTGGTCTAAACAGATCTCCCTTGAGTAGAATGCCCTGTTGGGATCTTTCTAGATTTGAAATAAGGTCTTTGAGCCAGGAGGAGAGTCTTCTGAGACTTTTTACAGAATTTGGATGACAGTCAATATAAAATACCACCCATCTGCAGTTAATTTCTTTTCATCATTGTGTGATTAAAAGTGGTGATTCAGTGGGAACTTGGAGCGTTTTTAGCTGGTGGGAGAAGACTGCCTACAGGGGCACTATTTTAGATTCCCATCATTTAAATTCCAAATAGGTTCGGTAAAGAAAGAGTAACTGTAGCCTCAGCTAATCCTCTAGGATTCGTGTGAGTGGGAGAGCTGACACCGCAAGTTATTAGCAGGTAAAAACTTGCTTCGAGGGAAATGGATACTGAGCTACTGACATACCCCAAATTATATGCTGTGATATCATTCCCCAAATGCCAAACCCTGATTTCTAAATTCGTAAGTAATTCTAGTTAACCTTAGTAGGAGTCCATGTGAGAAAATGAAGTTGCAGCTTGCCTCATTCACATCACCAAGCCCAGGAGCTGAAACAGCCCCTCCCCTTGACAAGCGTACGTATTTTAAATTAACTCCCTCGTCCCTGCTCACCCTCACCTTCCTAAGAAGTTTTGACCATTTATTTCCACATTTTGGAAAGAATATATTAGAATACATTGGTGATACCTTAGAGAATCTGTTCTATGAAATGTTTCATTAAAACCTTCAGTTTTTAAACTAAAATTGAAGATTCTGTCTAAAGGAATTCATAGACTGGTATTTGATGACTTAAGCCAGGTTTTTTTTCGAAGCAGATCTGCGGGATCTGCTGTGTGAGAACTGCCTGGGTGCTTCTTAAAAACAGGTTCCTGGATTCTACCTCTCTTATGAACTGAAGTCAAATCCTGGAGAGAGGGACTAAAATCTGCAGTTATTAGTAAACACCACAGGGGACTGTGGGTCAGTGAAAATTGGGAAACTCCTAATTTTACGTTTTTTGGAAGCTGAGGCACAGATCAGCGCTTGCAGCCTCCGGTCTAACAGGTTGGGCTCCCTTAGGGAGAGGGTCTACAAATGGAGAGCTGTCACCCCATACCTTGCCCTCTGGTGAGTGGGGCCGGGGCTCCACCTGGCTTGGGGGTGGCACTTTTAACCCTCACAGGAAAGGCCTGCGGAGGAAAAAGACTGGAAGAAAGGCAACCTAAGAAATGGGGCACTTGCAAAGCCAGCCCTCTCCGTCATTCAGGAACCAACTGAGGAAAAAGAATCCAGAGTCTGACTCACAGCCCGTATGATCTGTTCAAAGCTGTCTTTTCCACCTGCTGGAGTTCATTCCGATTTTAAATCACCGGAGGCACACATAATGGCTGAGGGGAGGATGAGCCATTAACATCGAATGCAAGTTTGATTCACCACCCCATTATCACAGCTCATTATCATATGCAGATTTTAAATAGCATTTCCAATTTCATTTTCACAACGCTTGCTGCAGAATTCCCTACTAGAATGTGAAACATGAACACACCACAGAACTAGAGAATGCTAGTCACATACCGAGGGGCGGGGTGTCGCATCCGGGCACAAAGGTGTGTGCGCTAGGGTTCTCCTGCTGCCTGCTCTGCTTCCAAAGCTAAATGTTCTTTCTTTGGTGTTGCCAGCCATACTCTACAAGTAAGACTTTTCAATTGAGTTATAAGTAATATAATTTTATGTACATACAATATTAAAAAAATTGTACAGAATCTTTATTTCTACAATGTGCTCTTCTTGTTTAAAAAAAAAGGGAAAATGCTCTTCGGATTTTGTTGATGACATTGCCGCCTTTAATTTTCCACGGTCTCATTTCTTAATCATGCCTATGCATCGTCTATTTGTACTGATGCTAAGCTAAGGACTGTGTAGGCAAGACTGAGCAGTAGACAGAGGTGCCTGGGGTCAGATACTCTGAAGAAAGAGACCAGCTGGATCAACAGCTTCATCAGACCTTTCGACACGCACATCCTTCCCAGAGGTTCGCAGTTGATATTTAAAGGAGCACAATGACCGATTCTCCTGCCCAGTCTCTGAGAGCTGAACGTTCTGTTTGTGTCAGCAGTGCGGCTGTGCAGAAACACCTGCAAACCTGTGTGTCCCTGTAGGGTTGCCAGCCTCTCCTTGTGGGGCAAAGCAGTCACTCTGAGGGCAAAGTGTGATGTTTTCAGGACACCAGGAATCAAAGGAAGGAATCAAGCGGTACACAAATCCAGCTTTCCTACTGGATGAAGTGTGAGTGTGAGTAGTACAGTCAAGCCCTTTTTTTGGCTAATGTAAGGCCTTTCCCATCTTGCAGTAAGAATGTCTCCTTGTCTACTGTTTCTCTTAAATGAGCTAGTTGAAGTTTGCAGTGTTGGCAAACAGATGATGGAGAGGGGGTGATGATTTTACTGGACTTTTTTCTGGCCCCAGAGACGCAGCCCTAAGAGTCAAACTTCCTAGAGGGAACCCTCAAATCCATCCCTCCTTCCCTCCCCGCTACCCACACAGAAATATTCTAGAATAAAAGCACCGGATAAGTACACTTGGACACATTTTCTAATCTTAGAAAGTTTCTAAAAGGCCTGTTGTCCTGACCCATTACTCAGTTGTCCCTGGCATATTATCTGAGGTTCAAGTTTCTTGGAAGCAGAACTGTCAAAGGATATCCTTTGTAACTGCCCTTTCTGTACACAGCAGGCATTAGTAATTGTTGAATGGCAGACAAGTGACAGACAGACAAGACAGGAAAGAGGAGACATATATGCGTTTTTGCAGACTGATGGCTAAGTTACAGAGCCTTGCCCTACCCCTAGAATGTTATTTAGATCAAGTTTAGCTTTTAGAGCCCAGGTCTGGTTAATTGCCAGGGTGGCAAAAAATCGCATGCACCCATATAAACAGGAGTCAAAATGCAATATTAGTTGAAGATCGAATTTCACATTGTAGAGATGAAATAGCTGTGATTAAGCTGCATACTTATGCTGGGAAATGGCTTAAGAGGATGACTAGTATTAAAGTTGTTGGCCATCACGTCGCATCTCTCATCTGCTTGGAATATGATACTATATTCAAAAATATCAGCCACTGGGGTCTTGTTCACTACAAGACAAAATTCAGACTTCACAGAACTTTGCAGCAGGTCACAATTTGATTGTGTCTGCACACTGTCTTCACGGATGTCTAATAAAGCAAAACTCTGACTCTCATGTGGCCTATTTTTTTTTTGCACTCTGAATTTGTAAATGGAATTATACATGCATCATCACTGACCTCCCCTTTATCTCATCCCAGATGGAAACTGATTTTCAGGTCCTTTCCTAGGTGTTGCAAGCTTTATTCACTTTCATTCCAACAAGACTGGCTCCTTGGTTCACTGGGAACCAAGCCTCCATCAACGTGATGTCTACGAGCCCCCCTTTCCCCCGAAGCTAAAGACAGCAGTCAGACCTGCTAGAGGGAAGGCAGATGGGCCAGGGTAACCACTGACAACTCCACTGCACCCAAGCGAAGGTCATATAAAAAAGCAGAAAGCCAAGGTCTGGCCAAACTGGCTGCTGCATCTGGGGTCTTGGGTTTGTTCCAGGCTCCATGTTGGGGTCGCCCTGCAGAGATGGCTCTAGAAGCTCCTGAATAGTCTGAGGTGGGTCCTAGGACTCTGAGGGTGGTATCAATGTGTGCTTCCTAAATGGGTAGTTCCACTAGCTTTCATCTGAGGATCAGTTCCCAGGGGCAGGCTGGGAGGTGCAGTCAAACAAGCAAACGTACTAGAATGTAGCGCCAGCAGGCAGTCTGGCCTCCCTTTCCTTCCCTGGACAGGGAGCGGCTGGAACTAGCCGTCTGTAAAGGCCACTCAGTCCCTTGGTCTGGGTCATGCAGTGGGCCTCGTGGTTTCAGTCCAGTGAGATGAAAGCTCAGCTCCCATAAAATGAGGCTGTTGGGAGGAGTATGGCTCCACTTTCCCCACACCCCCTCCTTTATTTCGGTGCTTTCTGCCCGGTTCCCTGTGTGGACCATCTGGAAATTTGTCTTTCCTGGTAAGAGACACAAGTCTAGGAGCGCAGGGGTGTGAGGTGCTCGAGGGGAGCTGCCACCCACCCAGGCCTCTGCTTCCTTCCCAGGCTGTTCCCGGCCCAGGAAGAAGGTCTGTTCCCACCAGTCCTCTCCTCGTCCCAGAGACCTCCTGGCCCCAACCCAGGTCTCCCCAGAGTCAATATCAGAAAAGGCAGCTCTAACCTAGACCCTTTCAGTACCCCTCTCTCCAGTTTCCAGACCCAGAGGGACCACCAGACCAGCTGGGGATACCATGAACAGAGAACAGCTTCAGAGGCCAGATAATTGTTGGGCAAATCCCTAGATTTCACCCCATGGGCCGACCCTGAGTGAGGTGCAGGAGGAAGTGCCCCACATTCACTGGGGTTCACTGGCCCCCTCTGGCACACGGATCCTGGGCTCCTAGTCAGGTGAGGAGGGGGAGGGGCAGTCTGGGGCTCCGACCCCGCCCCTCCCCCTCCCCCGAGGGCCAAGTGAGCTCACAAAGGCGGGGAGCCTTCAAGGGAGGTCCGGTGGTGGGGAGGGGCAGGCAGGAGGTCCCGCGGGTGGGATCCAGGCCACCCAGGTGAGCAACATGGGGTTTGGGGGAGGGAGGGAGGAGATGGGGGTGGGGCGGAGGGGGTGGGGCGTGTCCACGCTTTCTGACCAGTTCCCCTGGCCTCATCCCCTGGACGCCTCCTCTCCATGCTCTTCCACGCCTCCTCCAGGCAGGCCTCGGGGGCCGGGGGCCACAGCCGCCCAGTCAGCGCAACCTGTTGCCGCCCCCTCCCCAGCGGCAAACTTTTGGGCAACACAATGTCACCCTCAGAGTTTAGAGATCTTCCGTTCATACCTCCTTGGACGCAAGAACCTTCAAACAAGTGCCTTATTTACAACCTGTAAAATGGGGACAAATAGAAACTAACCCTTAGGGCGGCTGTGAGGATTTAATAAGAATGCGGTCCCGCCTTCAACCGTATCATAGCAGGTGTTCTTCAAATGTCTGAACCCTTTAAAAAATTCCCATCACTGCTGACTAAACCCTGACTGAGGCCCTCTGCGCCACCCCTGAGTCCTCCTGTCCTGGCCGCCAGGGCATCACTTTTGAGAGATGTACTGGCTTGGCAGGGTAGGACTCGGCACATCTACAGTTGCCAGATACAAGACCTGGCCCATTTTCGGGATCCTGGAAGGGTTAAGGGGTCTGGCTCGGGAGACAGCATCCACATAAACTAATGCTGTGTGGTCCCCCCCCCCCCGCCACCCTCTGCTCACCGACCTCGGACTCCATCCCAGCCTTTGGGGCTTCTCGTCCCTTCCAGCCACACCTTACGCTAATTCTTTGTTGTGGGGCTGTCCTGTGCCTTGGATGTTTATCAGCATCCTTGGCCTCCACTCACTAGATGCAAGCAGCACCCCATCCCGCAGTTGTGACAACCAGAAATATCTCCAGACACTGCCAGATGTCCTGAGGGTGGTGCTGGGGCTGGGGGCAGCAAACGCCACCACTGCAGCCTGACTCCACCTGGATGAAGAAAGGCCCTGGGGGTGAGGGTGCACTATCTCGCCCCCTCCGAGGTTCGTGAGCCTGACCTGTTGGGGGTGGGTGGCTCCTGGGTCTTGCTCATCTTTGTATTCTTTAATATTCTGTCGCAGTTGGTGGCCGTAGTGTGTGCCCGTTCATAGTAGCTGAATGGATGGATGACAGGTTGGGTGAAAGGGGTTGGGGCCCAGGGGAAGAGAGACACTGGTGGGTGGTGATCTGCACAGCTGTCATCCGGGTTCATGTAAAAGGCGATGCCCCTTGCTGTCAGGCCGCTGGCTCTGTAACGGAAACCAGCTGTGTCTGCTGATGTTGTGAAGATGGTAGAGCTCTCTCTCTGTCCCGACCTGCTGGCAAGGTCACTGGACTCCCAGGGCCTGCAGCACACGTTCGGTGAGTTCTAGAGGCAGGGACATCTGATGAGACAGTTTCATTCTGTTTCTCTTCAATAGCAGAGAGCAAAATCATGAAGTCTTCCAAGACCTTCATGAGACAGCTGCCGGTCACACCAGGCTACAGTGGTAAGTGATGATGTGCCCTGCAGGAGAACCAAGGTCCTGATCGCTGTCCCTACCTCGGCCCACTGTCCGTGTCTGTCCAGCTGATTGGACGAGTGCAGGCACTTCAGCTTTTAAGACACTTGTTGAAAGCGATCCATTGCCAAAGATGACTGATAACAGGATTCTGATCAATGGGGAGACACAACTTAGACCAAATCTCCCAGGACATGGCCTGGTATGCAGGAAGGGCTTAATTAATGTATGTTATATGCATTTGGACCGGGAAAGACATAGTGAATAAGCTGACGCCCTTGGGTAGATCTATTTGGATAAATCTATCAGTTCTACCCACTACATGGGGTAGTGACAGATTCCCTGTAAGATTTTTGTGAGGATTAAAGGAGCCACATAGATAACTGATTTTAAATATCTTGGCCCTTAGCAAGACTCAATAAAGGTAGCCTGTATTCCTATGTGTGTGTGAATATACACACTCAAATGAAATCTATGCAGATCGAAGTAGACCCTAATGGAGAAGAAACCACTGTGGCGGGGCCCCTGGGTTTTCACGGTCTCCTCTATAATATTAGCAAGTCTTTTGATTGCCTGAGGGTTGAGGAGACTGGATTGTGGCTGACAGACTTTCAACTCTGCCAAGACCAGTCTTAGACTGGATTCTTCCAGAAGAGACTTCTTCCAGGCTCGGGGCGGGGGGGGGGGGTTGCTGCTTTCAACCCTGGGGCCAGGTTTTCCTACCTGGGGACAAGGGCCTTCCCTTGTTGGGCTTCAATAGTGAGACTTCTTTATTTATTTGCAGTTTAAAACCAAATTCTTAGCCAGTTTTTCCGCCTTTGCTCTTTTAAAAATGGTCTTATTGTGACAATATTGTAGCACTTAGGATTCAGCATGCAGCTTAAATAAATAGTTGTGTTTTACTCATACTAATTGTAATGATTATCTGTGATTTTGTGGGAAATGGTGAAAAATTGTGCTAGGGGTGGATCTCACAGATAATGAATTTACCTTTGAGTGTAATAGGTCTCTGCTTTTAATAAGCCCGCAATTTCCAGGTGGCCCGACAAGAAAGATCCCAAATTGCATTTGGGAAGCGTCAAGTAAAATAAGCTTTCTTTCTAAAAAGATGAATAATTTCAGTTACTCCTTAGACTATCATTTTGGCCCATTAAATGCTTTCCCTGCTTGCTGTTCGGAGTGACATCGGGGGCTTTGCTATCAAAGAATATTCTCTCCCCAGCTCCAAGGTTATTTTTTGTGTGTGTGACCTTGGGGGGGTCCCAGCGGCCTTGGAAACAAAAGCACGGCTTGTATTAAAGGCCTCTGGGAAAATGCAGGGTTGTTGGCCAAGGAAGAAATGGCGAGGGGTGGGTGAGATTCTGGGGCATTGGGGCAGGTTCTGAATCCCTCACTGAAGGTGGTGATGTCCTGTCTCTTGCAGGCTTCGTGCCCTACCTTAGCTGCCAGGGGACCTCCGGTGAGGATGACATGTCGCCCTGTCTGAAAATCTTCCGGGAGAACACACAGCGATATAAAGACCAGCTGGAGGAATTTCACTGCTCGGTGGCCACTGCCCGGAAACTGAAGCCCGTCTGCTCGGAGGAGACGGTCCTGCGCGCGCTGCACCAGTACCACCGGCAGTACCACCCTTTGAGTCTGGGTACTGACCCCCGGAAACCAGCCTCCCTTCGTCCCTGGGACCAAGCCCAGGGCCTGACAAATTTGCTGAGCTGCCACTGAGAGAGAACACAGGGTCCAGCCCGCTTCTAAACCCCACAGGCGTCAGTGCAAATTGGAATTTTTATTCTCTTTTCTTATGGTTTGATGCCTAGAGAAGGTCCTTGGACATTTGTTGTAAAGCTGGTTTGGTGGTGCTGAAATCTTTTAGCTTTTGTTTACCTGTGAAGCTTTTGATTTCTCCATCAAGTCTGAAGGAGAGCCTTGCTGGACAGAGTAGTTTTCCCCTTTCATCACTTTAAATATATCGTGCCACTCCCTTCTGTAGAGTTTCTGCTGAAAAATCAGCTGATAACCTTATGGGAGTTCCCTTGTATGTTACTTGTTGCTTTTCTCTTGCTAATTTTAATATTTTCTCCTTATCCTTGATTTTTGTCAGTTT